CCCTCGTGGTTGTGTAGTGAGTGATGAACAACCGCCTTTGCAAAGAGATGCCGTAAATGAAGTGGAAGTGCGTGAATAACCTATTGATGAAATTTTACTTGTTGATTCGTAAAACCTAGGATATGAAGATCTTCTAGATGATTTAGCAGACGAAGGCAACAAAGAAGAATTTAAAGAAACTGATGACACAGATGATGGTTCGGATGATGACGAGAATAACATATAGTTTCGAGTTTGTATTGTGTATTATATATTTCAATATTAATAAAATGTTTTCTGAGATTATGAAATTTGGAGTTTTGAAAAGATGTACTTGAATTTTAAAGTTTGTGGTTTGAGGTTTCAGTTTAACAAAATTGTAGTCCCTAATTAGTCGTGAAATAACCTCTGATTTACGACCAATTTTGATATATTGGCCCCAATGTGGTAGTAATAGAAAGGAGTCCCAAAGTAGACGTAAGATAACCTCTATTTTACGACCAAACTGATAAATATGGTCCCTAAGTCGTCGTAATGTATTGTGGACCCAACATAGTCGGAACTTAACCTTTACATTACGACCAAACTTAACCTATAAATATGTTACCCTCTCCATTAGAAAATTGCAAAACAAAACAAAAAAAAAATTTAAAAACATAAAAATGTTTAGGATGAAAATATCTTATTCATATGTTCCCATAGAGATCTATCAGAAGCCTGGGGATTTATCTCAAGTAACTGAATGTATCGGTAGCTTGAGAAGAGTTCTCAGGACTCTGATATTTCTCTACGAGACATTTGGCAAGCTTAATTTGTTAGATATCTTACGGTTTTTGTTACGTAATTGAGTTTTTCCAAGTTAGTGAAAACTCAATTACTTAGCTTTTTTCGTAATTGAATTGTAGTCGTAATTGGGATGTAAACTAATGGACCCTAATTGGTCGTAATTGACGTCTGTTGACCGGAATTGGTCGTAATGCAGATGTACAGTTTGGACCCTAAGTGGTCGTAAATATGTTTGGTCGTAACATAGTAGTAACTTGGCCACGTGTCGATCCTAATTGGTCGTAAATTGTTGACCCTAATTGGTTGTAACACAATTTTGTTACTTATGTCGAAGTTAATTACAACTACATTAAGACCACGAGAAAATCTCTATATAACCACGCGAGTCGCAGAGCTCATTCTGTTGCTCTTTCCTCTCTCACTACCCACCACTTTCTCTCTCTAAAAGGTATGGTTTTTTTTTAGTTTTATGGTTTAGGGTTTGGGTGGTTAGTTTAGAGATTTAGGTGGTTAGTTTAGATTTAGGTGATTAGTTTAGGATGGAGTTAGATTAGCTTTAGAATTATATTAGTTTTAGAATTATTAGTATTTGATTATTTTAAATTAATTGTGTCTAACCATATAATTTTCTTTGTACAGTTCGATCGATGATATGTCTGGGAGACAGAGATTAATAAATCTTTTGGGGGCAGCTCAACCTAATTATGAAGATACATTTCTTGGTTCTTCGGATCCATCAGCTTCTAGCTCCGATAATGCATCTGCCGGGGAATTTGTCCCGGAGACCGACAAGAAAGGTAGATCATCGTATGTGCCTCATGCTGATGAGTATGTGCCTCCAACGCAATATGTGCCTCCACCTCTGTTTGACCTTCCTCCATACTATCCTCAGCATGATCATCCTCCATATGATCCTCATCATGAGGTTCCTTCACACCATCAGGACGATCATCATCATCATCACCAGTATGCCCCTCCTCCTCCCGCAGCTGCTCCTCCTCCCGCAGCTGCTCCTCCTCCGCAGCTGCTACGCCTCCTGCAGCTGCTCCGCCTCCTGCAGGTGCTCCGCCTCCTGGAGCTGCTCCGCCTCCTGCAGGTGTCCATCCGGATTTGCTTGTACCACTGGATGCTCCCTATGCTAGATTCACAGTGGAAGATCTTCTCCAGTGCCGGGACGTGAAAGTTTACCCATTATCGGTCCAGATCGACCACCCAACACTTTCTGGTAACTTAATTTTGATTTTATTTTCATTATTAAAAATTTAATTATATATGTCAATCTAATGTATTTTTAAAATTTTTAAATTCTAGGTTTCTAACGGGCAATCGTCTGGGACGGAGCGTCTCAGACATCATCAAGGAAAACTTCCGGGATCCGCATACGAATTGGAAGCTTACACCAGACCACGTCGAGGACTTGGTAACAATGCTTTGCGATAAGTTGTGGATATTAACATTTTATTTTTAATTAAATTGATGTAATTACTTTATATTCATTTGATTATTAATTTTTATTTTAATTAATTTTTGCAGAAAAAATGGAATTGGTCTATTGCTGTCAACGAGAAGATGAAGGATGGGTTCAATGATAAGGCATCGTCTTAAACATTGTGGGTGATTGGAAAGAGAAGTGGAGGGTTATGCATGATAATGCATGATAATGCAAAATCCATCTTTATCAGCGAACATGTTTGGACTAGCTTGAAGGCTTACTGGAATTTTCCTAAGTCAGTTCTAACATCTATCTGTTGCTCCAACTGCCAATTGACCCGTGATGCTCATGGTAATCTGCCTTCTCCCCACACTTTTAGACAGACTCCACCCGCTGGGAAAACCCTAGAAATTGTAAGTAGAACTAATTTTTTAATTTTAAATTTTTTAAAAATTATATATTAATAAATTTGTTATTGAATACATGAGTTTATTTTTAAATTTTTGTCAGCTGCTCGGGAAAAAGTACCACCGTCTCTTTCCCGACTTTATAAGTTGACGTACCATCATGCTGATGGGACGTTTGTGGATCCTCGAGCAGAGAAGATTTACAACGATGTTGAGGCTCGGATTCAGGAGGTCCAGACCAACAAGGCAACCCCGTCCAGTTAACCACCATCGAACAAGACAAAAATGTTGAGGAGGTAAATTATTATTCAATTTAAATTATTAATTATATAAGTTTATTATATATGTACTAACTTAAGTTATATTTTTTTTATTGAATGAAGGTTATCCCAGAGAAGAGGGGCAGATGATCGAGATTGGTACGGTGAACGATGTCCCGAGGGCTAGAGCTGAACATGCTGCAAGACTGCATGAAGAGTCACAGCTCCGGGCTGATTAGACGAACGCCAACCAAGTCATTTCGACCCTTCAGACGGACAACCAGGCTAACAGGAGCCACATTAGGGCAATGGCTGAGACGTTTGATGTTATTGCACAAACAAACCCAGCCCTTGAACAGATCTGGCGATCTAGATGTTCGACAATCAACCCCGATTCAACTCCAGAAGAGCAGACGACTGTGCAGCAAGCAGTCGAGGAGCACAGCTCCCAGTTTTTCGAAAACATTAATCTTAATAATTAGTTTTTTGTAATTTTAATATATTATTTTTTTGATTTATTAAGTTAATTTTTTTTTAATATTTTGAAAAATTGAAGGATTTTATAAATATTTTAATTCAAAATTTAAAATTATTAATTTTAAATTTTAAAATTTATAAATGTAAATTTATATAACCTTGGACGTAAAGTGGTCGTAAAAATTTAAAAAAAAATCGAATTAAACTGGTCGTAAACGTTACCTCGACATTACGACTACAAACATAATGGAGGTAAACTCGTTGTAAATTTTACGACTACATTACAACTAAGAAGATGTAACTTGGTCGTAAAATTTACGACTCATTAACTTCCCGTTTAAATCTAAATGTTGCTTCTATTTTACGACAATTGACGACCAATGCACGTGCATATATTTGGACGTAACTTTACGTCACATCAACCTCTAAGTTACGACTACGCCCTTTACAACTGTTTCACGATCAAATACTTTGGTCGTACACATTACGTCTATGTTACAAGCATTTGTTAGTTACGACGGGCTACTAACGACCATTTGTGTTTGGTTGTTATGCAGTCGTAATGTGTGCTTTACGACCAAATAACTTCGGAAAGTGCAGTAGTTAAACCCACGTTTTCTTGTAGTGTCACAAAATCCATTTTGTAAGCATGGCTTGTGGATCGGTAAATACCAGATACTGGACTTAAGGTAAAATTAGTAATAACTTTCCATTCTTCAACACGACAAGGTTTTTTGAGATGTTGCAGCAATGATTGTCTGCATATGGCCTGGATTTTCACACCCTATCAAAACGTAAGAGCAATAGATTAAGTTTATATATTAAAACATATTAAATACACCATAAGTAGGTAATATTGGCTTACATTTTTGTCTCTAAAACCATATGAAGCGAAGAACCAAACAGGTGATCGAATGGCTTCCACGAATGCAAAACTTTCACTTTGACCATCCATGCAGTTTTGAAAGCTCGAACATCACTTATATCGTCCATCTTCAGTATTTGTACTGGTGGTATTTTGTTGTGTGTGTGTTTGTGATATATATATATATATATAGTTCTTGTTGCCTGTATATAAATTTTAAACCTAATAATTTAAAAATCTTTTTAAATAAGAATGTTTTGTAATATATTCTCTAAAAAATCTATTTAGTTGATATTTATAAAAACCAATGGTTAAAGTTGTTTGATTTGTTAGGGATTCACCTTAATAGTTAATTAAAGATAAGAATAATATATTTGTAATTAATATCAGTTTGATCTGTTAAATTATATTTAAAAAAAAAATTGGAATCCAGTTAATGTATGTTTATGGAATTTCGTATACAAATTATAGTATGTTTTATTTAAAATATAAATATGGCGAAGCAATTCACATGACATTTTTTATAAAAAGAGGTTATGATGAATATAATCTTTCTGTTAGATTTTAAGTATAAATGTAATGGAATAAGGTTTAAAAATCAGAAAGTGAATATTATATAAGGTTTATACATAGGAGGCAACTAAATGAGATATATAGAATATTTAAAATTGTGATATAACAAATAAACAATCGAAAATGTATAAAATATGAGTGAAAATCGGATAGTAAAAAGCTGAACGGTTGGATTCTAATAAGAACTTGTCAATTTTTTTGTTTAGAAAATAAAGAAATTAATGAAAACTATAGCTTTAAAAAAAAATCTTCAATTTTAATAGTATATTGATTAATAGATTAGATAGTTACAGACACCAACTCTTCCCCGGGCAAGCATAAAGCAAGTAAACAAAATTTATATCTAACATTTTCATTCTCTTAATACTACAATCTTATTTATCTTAGTCATTATCATAACATCTTTTAATTATCTCAATAAGCTTATTTCCTTAAATGTCATTTTCCTCCGACATCATCTCCAGTGACCTGCATTCGCTGCTACAGAAGGCTCTGTCTCCCCTGCAAAATTAAATCACCAAAAATCGTTAATTAGCTATTCAAAGTTCAATTACAGAAAATATCATACAGTCTAAATTCATTTCTTGTATATGGACTATGGTTAAATTGTTAAAAATGTGAGTTTCACCTGTACATGAAAATGTCATCACGAGGTCCAAGATTCTTCTTACAGTTACAGCAGAAACTGAGAAAGCTGTCGGATGGTAAACAATCCGATTCGTTAACCGGGTCGGAGCTCCGGAAGAAAACGACGCCGGGTTTGCTCTCAACGATACAGTTATCGAATATATGAATCGTTCTCGGGTTAGGCCCGTGACACGTCACGCACGTGTAGTCTTCCGATAATTCCATATCACTGGTCGAGAAATAGCCCGTAAAGATTCTGGGCGACCCAAGACCCGACCCGGAAACCGTTTTCTTCGCCTCTTCAGGTGGAAGAGAAATCGGCGGATTCTTCGTTTTGATCCCGAAATCCGACGAGGATCGTTGGGGATCCGAGACCCGGACCCGGAGCTGTGACCCGAATAGAATTGTCCCGGATCTTTGTCGGGATAATCCGGGTTCTTCTTGGGTGAGAGAGTCGACAATGGCGAGTCCGATTCTTTTGGGTTCGAGCTTGAGCCGGGTCTCGGGTTCGTGGGGTTTCGGGTTGTCGGATCCAAAAGGGTTTTTGATAACGGAGAAAGGTTTTGTGTCGAGGATGGACGTGGGACTCGCGGCGGCGTCGTTTTCAGTGAAACTTTTGAAGCTGCTGAAAGCTGTTAAGAGCCGTGGAAACGGTGTCGGTTTACTCTGTTTCTGATTGGTGTCTGCCATGAGTGAAGCTTGCTTGCTTCTTGATCTCTTCTTCAGCATAATTCACTGCTCAATATAGAAAAACTTCAGCATAATCAAAAAAAAATATATAGAAAAAAATCAAAACTTTGAATAACTGAGAAAGAACACGAGAGGGGACATATCAAAACTATCACACAAGTTACAGAACATGTAGAAACTTTAGAGAAAATAAAAGTGATGGAGTTCTGTTGCCTCCATGATTGAGAAAGTAAATAAAATTGAAGAGAAAAAAACAAAACAAATAAAGAAAAAGAAATGAAAGTAACTGAAAAGACGAGAGACCTTTATTTACTCCCGACTTTCTCGCACTTTCAATGTAATATAAAACGTTCGGCTTGAGACTGAAGTAAGAAGAAGAAGAAGAAACAGACAGAAAAATAGTAATACTGTAATAGAGAAAATTGATCTTTTAAAATTTTTACTGGGACTTTAGTGGGTTATAGTTTCAATAACCTATGAGAGAACAAAACTGTAGAGAATCAAACTTGGCTTGCTTGTATGACACGAAACTAAAAAACACGCAAAACGAATTTGGCAAGTCCACCTCCTTGCTCGGAGACAAACTTAAATTCACTATGAATCGAGTAAACCAATTACAAGCAGTGTTCTCTTGAGAGATTATATTTTTCTGTTTTTAAACACATGACATGAGAGCTCTATATATACTACTTGACCTAAGCTATCTCCATATGTAGAAGGATCTTGTAATCCACCGTCATATGTAGTTCCTATTGCAAATAGGAGTTTCACAAGACTAAAGCCCATCTTGTTTAATCTTCTCAGGTTAAGCCCGAAGCCCATCAACAGGCCCAAGAGGCACAAGACTTCACATTCTCCACCTTGACTCTTGGGTCATTTCTTCGACTTCTCCGCTTCTCTCTTCCTCTCTCTCTCTGCGATCCAAAAGCACCGACGAACTTGTCACTTCGTCTAACACACCGCCGGTTCCTCGACGACGCTTTACCGGAGTTGCATGCCTTCCTCCAACCCTTGCTTCTATTCTCGCGTCAATTTCGTTTCCTCCTCTCGATTCTCCGTGAACAAGACAAGATCCCGACTTTCACCGTCGCTTGTCTTCACCGGCTCCAGCAACTACCGCCTTCACCTCCGCCACTGAAATCTCAGGTCTTATTTTGTTCTTACTCATCTTTTTCCTTAGACGCATGAACAAAACCCTAACCTTTGATTTCATTTTTTTTTTCTTTTTCCAGCTTCCTTCGATGAATCCTTTTAACCTTTGATCTCCGTGATTATCCGATGACAAATTTCTTCTTGTGCATCTCACGGCCATTTTAGAACCAAAAAACCAGAAACGTCAAACTTCAAAAGGTAACTCCTTTTGTTTTGACTTTTGCTGAATACGTGTCTTTAATCTCCTTGTAATGAAAGATTCCTTTGCTGAATGATTAAAATGTTTAATACTCAGCTTATGGCGTTGACGTCTCTTCACCATCATTCTTCCATTAGGTAACTTACTAGAATTGCAGCTTCAATTCCTTTAAGAGCTTTAAACCTGTGAACTGATGTTCACGCCTTTTGTTGCAGATAATTTCTTTCTACAACAACACGTACTTCTTCAAGGTATGCTATCTGATTCTTCCTTTAAAATAGTGTTCCAGCTTCTATTGAAGCTTATTCCTCTGCGTAAATGATCCTTGACTAGTATTGAATAATTTTGCAGACATCTGTTATAGACTGCTTCTGTCTACAACCACCATTCCCTCAAGGTAATCTTCTGAACTCATCTTCCCAAGCTAAAAAAAACTTCCTGTCGAAACATCAGTTTTACTTTTCCCGAAACTGATACTTGTTTTGTGGCTTTTTCCGCGAGGTGATCAACTCGACAGCATTGTCACCTGCAGCCACCCGAGCCTACTATGGCAAGACTTTAAGGATCTCCAAGCATGTCTCGAACTTTTGTCCAGGTACACACTTAGTTAGGAAATCCGCAGGATTGATAGATGTGTGAATCTTATGAACCGTAACGTTGCCAGCTTCAATTACGTCTCTCATAAAGTGTAGTCTAGTATCTATATGCTTAGTTCTTTCATGGAACCCTCCATTTTTAGCCAAATGTATAGCACTTTGTGAATCTGAAAACACCCTCACGTCATCTTGCTTGAATCCTAATTCACTTACAAATCCCTTAAGCCATAATGCTTCCTTAAAAGCTTCAGCTAATGCCATATACTCCGATTCAGTCGTTGATAGTGCAACAATATGTTGGAGACCTGATCTCCAGCTTATTGTGTTGCCTCCGACTTGAAAAACATAACCTGTAACCGATCTTCGTCTATCAAGGTCGGTTGCATAGTCTTCATCGCAGAATCCTTGAACTTTAAACCCATCTCCTTTAGTAAACATTAGGTCTGAACCTAGAGCTCCTTTTATATACCTTAACACCCACTTAACTGCTTCCCAGTGTTGCCTTCCTGGTTTGCTCATGTAACGACTGATCAGACCTACTGCAAAACATAAGTCTGGTCTAGATCCCACCATCGCATACATTAGGCTTCCAACAGCTGATGCGTAGGGTATTACATTCATAAACCTTGCTTCCATAACTTCTTCATCTCGTGTCAAACTTTTAAGCTTAAATTGTGGTCCGATAGGAGTAACCACAGCTTTGCTCTCGGTCATGTTAAAAGTTTGTAACACCTTCTGTAGATACTTCCCTTGTGATAGCTTTAGAGTTCCTTTCTCCCTGTCTCTAATGATATCCATTCCGAGTATCCTTGAAGCTGCTCCAAGATCCTTCATCTCGAACTCTCTCTTCAAACTATCTTTGATTCTATTAATTTCTTTAGAATCCTTAGATGCTATGAGCATATCATCAACATAGATTAAGAGATAAACCATGTGAGATAAATCTGAACCTTTCATGTAGACACAAGGATCGTATGCACTACGGTTGAATCCTTGTTTCTTCATAAATACATCGAACCTTCTGTTCCATTGTCTTGGTGACTGTTTTAATCCGTAAAGGGATTTTAACAGGAGACAAACTTGATCTTCTTTTCCCTTCTCAACGAAACCTTCTGGCTGTGACATATAAATCTTCTCCTCCAATGTTCCGTATAAGAAAGCTGTTTTCACGTCTAGTTGCTCCAAATTAAGATCATAATTTGCAACTAATGATAACATAATTCTGATTGACACATGCTTCACAACTGGAGCAAATACTTCCGTGTAGTCAATTCCTTCTACTTGTGAAAACCCTTTAGCTACTAGCCTAGCTTTATATCTAGGCTTCTCAACTCCAGGAATGCCTTCTTTCAACTTGAAAACCCACTTGCTGCCAATAATTCTCTTATTCTCTGGTTTTTCAACCAGTTCCCAAGTCTGATTTTTCTCCAAAGAATCCATCTCTTCTCGCATTCCTTCGTTCCATAATTTCCAGTTTTTACTTCTTCTCGCCTCTGAATAGGATTTAGGTTCATCCGTATTCAATTCCTCTGCTGTGGCCAAGGCGTAGGCCACACAATCTGAATCATCAAATCTTGATGGTTTCTTTATGTTCCTTCTTGCTCTGTCTCTAGCTAGAATGTAGCTTTCTAAGTTATCTTGGTTAGCTTCCACAACATCTTTGTCACCTTCTGAGTTTGAGGAATCGGATCCCGAGTTCTCTGTTGTCGAGGAAACTCCACCTTGAACTGAATCCCCTGTCTCAGCGTCTGTAGTTGTGCTTGAAGGTCCTTGTATCAAGTCTAGATTGAAAGTGACTTTCTTTGCTTTCTTCTTATTTTCACTGAATCCTTCAATGTCTTTAAACATTTCTTCTTCATTAAATATCACATTCCTGCTCACCGTGCATCTCAGCTCTTCTGGTAACCAAACTCGATAACCCTTAGTCCCTTTAGGATATCCCATAAAAACGCCTTTTACTGCTCTTGGACTAGTTTTGGTTTGTGTTACGTGAACATAAGCGGTACACCCAAATTTCCTTAGATGACTTAAGTCTGCTTTAGTTCCTGACCAAACATCTTCTGGTAGCTTGAAGTTGATAGCTGAGCCTGGAGATCGGTTGATCAAGTAGACAGCTGTAGAGGCTGCTTCAGCCCAGAACCTTTGTTCTAATCCTGCCTCTGTCAACATACACCTAACTTTCTCCATTATAGTGCGGTTCATGCGTTCTGATACTCCGTTTTGTTGTGGAGTATAGACGCATGTTCTATGTCTTTTAATCCCTGCTTCTTTACACAGAGTATCCATCTGTGTATTGCAGAACTCTAATCCGTTATCTGTCCTAAGACATTTCACCTTCTTTCCTGTCTCAGTTTCAACGCTTGCTTTCCATTCCTTGAAATTCTGAAACACTTCATCTTTAGACTTTAGGAAATAGATCCAAACTTTCCTAGAAAAGTCATCAATGAATGTAACAAAGTAGTAGCAACCCCCGAGACTCTCAACCACCGAAGGTGATCCCCATAAGTCTGAATGTATGTATTCTAAGACTTCTTTAGACGTATGTTTTCCTTTAGGAAAGCTTAGCTTGTGTGCTTTACCCAACACGCAATTCTCACAGAATTCCAGCGTCTTAACTTCTTTCTCGTTAAGATACCCTTCTTTGACTAGAATATTCAAGCCTTTTAGACTCATGTGTCCAAGTCTAGAATGCCACCTCTTAGTCAAATCAACATCAGGTCTTGCAACCACAGCTTCTCCATTTAACACTGTTCCTTGTAAGTAATACAAGCCATCACAGTATTTTCCAGAAATCACCTTCTTATCTTCTTTGAAAAACTGCACCCTGAAGTCTTTGCCTTCGTATCTACATCCCATCTTCTCCAATAAACCGTAAGAAATAAGGTTTCTGCCCATTGTTGGCATGTAACGAACATCAGTGAGAATCACACTTGATCCATCATCATTCATGATCCTGATCTTCCCTATTCCTTTGATCTCACTGATAGTATTGTTTCCCATTAAAACTTTCCCTCCTTCTACGTCTTCAAGATCAAATAACACATTCTTATTTGGAGTGATATGGAATGTACAACCAGAGTCAAGTACCCATTCATCCTTAGTGGCTTGCTGACTTGCCACTAAAACCAACGGTTGCTCCTCCTCCTTTGCTAAGTTAACCGAGTTTGCTGGCTTTTTCCTTTCTGGACATTCCTTTTTAAAATGTCCTTCCTTGCCACATGTCCAACATTCTCTTGTAAACTTAGGTTTTGACTGTGATCTGTTCTTGCTTTTCGAT